TAGGCGTTGGACGCAGGACTCCGCTCGTAGGGGAACCTGCTGCGGTCATCTCTGTAGTAACCTGCAGACACAGGTGGGAGCGATGTCACTAAAAGTTCAGGGCAGAACAAAGCCGCAGAAAGCAGAAGTGAACGCACCTGAAATCTTTTTCAGAATTTGGCCTGAGTTTTTGAGATGTACTCTGAGGAGATCAAGCTGTTATTTTAGGGTTGATGTCTCTGTACCTCTTCTGTTTTCATATGAGTATGCCATAAATGTAATGCCTGTTTTTGACCTTGTGATTTGAAGCATGTGCCTTAAACTGAAATTCTCGCCCCAACAGGAGGGATGATGTAATCTGTCTTCTTGTTAGCACTCGTGTCCACAGTTTTCAAGATATTATGTTCAAATTCTGTGTGATGGGAGATACCAGTAACAGCTCCATATGGTGAAAGTTTGGTGAAAAGTCAAAATAAAGGTCACGCAGAAAAAACCTTATACTACGCAGACTTTTTGTCTTCACAACAATATAGCAGGCCTGCGATGGTTTAAGTAGCTAGGTTGGCTAAAAGCTGAGTTTGACCTCCAGAAACCAGAACAGCGTAAAACAACGCACGAATGTGTTAAAGTTTGTACAGAAGTCAACGATTTCAGCCAATTCTGCTCCGATCATAAATAAAATAAAATAAAATACAGCTTTAAGGTCATAGGTCAAAGGTCAGACATTGGCATGTTTCAGTAAAAACATCCTAAGACACCAAAACAGCCTTAACCTCTGACCCTAAATGCTGGCCTGGACCATAAGCGAGACATTTGGCCGGCGGTCACCATGGAGACCCACAGCCAGACTTTGTTTCTTTGGAGGTTCTCTGCTGATGTTTACAGATGTGGGAATACTCGGATGTGTGTGTGGGGTGTTTTTGATCGAGCTGAAACGTCGACCACGAACTCGTTATTGTACGGTTTCGTGGCAGTGCGGGAGAACAGACCTGGATGGATCACGGCCACAAGTCCTCCCAGCGACTCGGCCCCCCAGCGACCGTGGAACTTTGAGTCGACGTCCAGACAGAAGATGTAGTCGGCGCGGTTCTGAAGCTTCTTCTCGATCAGGTTCTGGATGATCTCCATCCTGCGAGCTGAGATCTCCTGCCAGCGGTTTGAGCTGGGCACTGAGCGCACCGTCAGCTGGAGGAGGAAGAGGAGGAAGGAGGCAGAGTCAGAAGACGAAGAATCCGCCAAGAGGCTGCGTTTGGTTACAGGATCCGTTTACCATTCTGCCGGCCGCCATGTTCACTTTGGGCACCTCGTTAGGGCGATCAGTGAACACGTAAAAGTCCACCCTGAAGCCAACAAAGAAGTGCTCCTCAGACGTCTGCAGAAAGTCCTTCAGGAACATGATGTACCTGTGCAGAGGAGAGGTCAAAGGTAAAGCCAGAGACGCTGCTTTTAGGCCTGCAGGGAAACCGAAGCGTTGTGATGTCACACTTACTTTCCGACAGCGAAGACTGTGGCAGCAATGGTGATGTTCTTCCTTTTGTAGATGCTGTCCAAGAGAAACGGGTTGAAGGTTCCCTCCCAGACCACCGGAGCCAACCACGGCGTCACCGTCACCACGTCAGTACGACTGCCATTACAGAGACACGGCATCATCATCGCCATCATCATCGCCATCATCATCATCATCTTTATCAAAAATACAAACATCATGACCAGGGCTCTAGAGTGTGACCAATTTGGTCGCACATGCGACCAAATTTTTCAGTGGTGCGACTAAAAAAAAATCTGCAACCTTCCCTGTGGTCAACAACAGACACACATTTTGCTCCTATCGTGGACTAAACCAATCAGAGATAGTCAGGGGCGGGACCTCTCTGATTGGCCGTGGTCCAGTTGAAAGTGCAGGTGGAAGTGGGAGGTGAGTAGCTTGAATAAAGC